ATAATAACAATAGTAACAATAATAACAATAAAATAACAACAATAGTAGCTGCCCCTTTGCCGGGTTCAGAAAGCCAGTGCCAGCACTAAACCACGTGACTTATTTGCCCAGGCCGGCAGGCCTGCCAGGATGACGAAGTCCAGGTCCCAGGCGCGGCAGCTCCTACAGCATCATGTAACAGAAGCATTCAGCTCCAAAGCGTTGGGAACGTTGAGAATTGCATGCGCACTTCAACCTCCAGCGTGGACGTGGTGACTATTCCAGAAAGGAAGCCTGTCTTTCCTCTATGTTGGTAGGAGTAAAACCCTTTTTCCTTCATGTTATATGTTAGTTTAAAGCCTCTGCTCCTCCATTCGATTTGAACAGGAATGCCTAGTCCGCAAATTTCTTGCAGGTCTGTATTGTCGTTTGGGGGTCGGTTTCCTTGCCTTTATGTTTTCATATACTATTTCCAATATCCCTTTAGAAAACATTCATCTTTACCCTAAACTCTAAATTCATCTATAGTTTCTTGCAGTGGGAAACCTTGCCAGGTCTGCGCAGCTCAGTCTCACGCCAACGGCGTTGCTCGAGCTCTGTTTGCGAAAGTCTACATAATTTTCTGCCAGATCTCGTGGAGTGCTAAAGCTGCTAGACGTCCAGCTCAGCAACTTATGCGTCGCACTTGCTGCTATCGAAGCAGAGAAAGCCCTTGCCATCAGAAAGCTTACCCGCCTGTCCGTCTGTGGGCAGCAAGTCATGGTCAATCAAGAGATGGCTGAATATCTCCTGGGGACAAAGACTTCTACCTGCCGGACCAACAAAGCTGCCTGGCATTGATTGCGTAAGTCGTGTCCTGGTAGTTCCTCGCCGAGCTCACCTGCCAAGAGAAAAAGCTGTGAAGCCTCAAGATCAAGCAAAGGGTTCTGCCAGTCATATCTGGTTCTGCAAAGCCCCAGACTATTTGGACGGGGTTTGGCTAGTATTTGCAGTGCCTTCAATGCTCGTACCTGCCGCGCGTCCAGGATTGCAAAGACCTTTGTGCATGCAGTGCGAATGCAGCTTCCCTCGTCAAATCTGGCTTGCCAGCAGGCCATGCAGGAGAAAGAGTCCAGCCTATAACTAGCCATGGCTATGAATCAGGACTCTTCGCTCCTACTTGATCTGCTTGACACAGTTGGAGTTTAGCTTCCTCAGCGCCCTGGCTGCTTCAGCAGCATTGTCAATGTCGAAGGCTGCCTCAGACAGCTGCGCGCTAGATCGAGCCGCTTGCAGGAATGCTGCTTCCCGAGTTGATTAGGGAGTTTCCTCAATGTACTCAGTCTTCAGTCATGTCAAGATTCTCGGAGGCTGAAATTCACTGTCCCTTTTTTTAAACAAATCCTGTCTTGAGCCTTCCCAGCCCTGCCCCAATCCGTGAGCACATTGATTATGTTCGAGTTTAGCGATGTGTCAGCGGTACCGCCCAGTACTCAGAGAATCTCAGAGAAAATATCTGGCATGCACATTGCCTGCTACGAGTATGACCACATAAGCGAGCAAAGCGGGACTGAGGTCGAGCGCCGGAAGACGTGCAGTTTCCTCAGCCGGGTTGCTCTCTGCCCCCGGCCATTCTTGACGCCTGGGCTGCAGATAGTGCCCGACCCTGGGTGTTCCCATACGCATCACGGAGTTCAGAGCCGCTTATGGATTAACGATGACAACAATTCCAGGTGCAATTGATGAGTGGCCCAGCTCATGCACAAGGCACGTTTCTCTCAGACCGAGTCGTCTGCGTTTCCTCGTCGCTCATCCTTGCAATTCCTTCGCAGATACACGAAAACGATCACTTGATGACAAAGCAGACGAGATGCTGAGCTCATGAGCCGCTGGGCCTGAAAAAACTATTGTGAAAGAGACGTGTGCTCCGAGAAATACAAAGTGACACATTGGGAACTTGATGTGTGTTAATGCGCTCGGAAATCCCAAACGAACAGCCGGCCTTCTTGTCCACCCTTCATGTCCTGATGCTCTGCAGTTCCGTTGGCACTTGTAAGTTCATACCATGGGGTTCGGGAACGAAAGCAGTCTGCACCTGCCTCTCCATTCTAGCCTAATACCACGCACTAGTGTCTGCCCACTTCCGATCGTTGACCGACTCGGGCCAGATGTTCCGCTTCCAATGCGTTACATTGCAAAGATCCTCATTCTTCATGTCTCCAGCCTCACTCTCGCCTTTGATTGTTGCTTTCACTTGCTGTCCTTGCTGCTGTCCACCAGGTGTTTGCATTCCTCTTGCATACTTCGGCTTGGTATGAACGTGTGTGTGTGCTCCCACTTGCATCTAGTCAGTTGTGTCTGGCCCCGTTCACTTCAGGGCTGAGGATTTGCCACTCCCTGCCCCTCTTGAGGAGGCAGAATCTAGAGCCTAGGGAGTCTAGGGAGAAACGAAGTGCAGGAACAGGATGGCTGGTACGGGGTTGTGCGGTGACTTGCAGCGTCCTTCCCATCTGGCGTTCCAATGATAACCTGAATGATGGAATGCACTGGGTCCCACAACTTCCTATGCCAGCATCTGCATGACATGAGACAACTTTCGAGCTCTTTCATTGCTGGGATTCCGCACACCAGCTATGTCGCTGTCCATGCAGATCGAACCTTGGCGAGTCGTGCCCTTGCTCCAACAATCTGCCCTTCTCAGCGGACAGTTCTGCTGCCGACGCTTAGGCGGCGCAAAACAACCTGGCGCAAGCGCCTCTTGCACTGCGGATCACGGGCCATGTGAGTAAGGGGTGAGCAACAGCCTTCTGCAACTCGGCCGTTGGCAGCTTTGGCCTCCAACTCATGGAGAGTATGTACAGCATAGAGTCTGTGGGGCATGATGTCTGAAGATGCGCTTAGTCGTGGAGTAGAGTGGGAGTGGAATAGCGTAAATTCGTAGCGTAGAGAACAGGAGATGCATGTTGGATATTACTGGAGTACAGAGCAAAACGAAACTTATGGGAATGCCATCGTCAACCACAGGACGAACACCAACACTCTGAAAGCCGGACGTGGATTACGAAGCTTCATCGCTCCAGAAGAAAAGCCGACCTCCTTCGTTCTAGGTCGGTGAATCTGCCTTTTCGGTCCTTTTTGCACAGCGGCCCATCGCCAACACGCTGTGTTTGCAACCCGCTCCAGCCAAAGGAACCGAACGAACGGAGAGCCGAACCGAGGGCATCGAACCATGCTCGAAGCGAAAACCAAACTTTCTACCATGGTGCAGGAACAAGCTTCGGTCATTTAACAAACATTGCGCTGGATGCCTGCGGCAGTTGCTCCTCCGCTGTGGAGCCTCGACACATGGGAAAGACAGGACGTGGGAAATCATGGGCAACTCTGGGATGTTCTGGTTCCGAATCGTGCCTTCACCGGAACTTGTATGCACGATGCCCATCAGAGCTGCCCACCTGAGACAACGTTGGAATACTGTGGGAATACTGTGAGTACCACAGCTGTGGCCATCCATCCGGGAGGACAAACGCAAAGGACGCACCCCAGTGTGGCCTGCAACAGCTGGAAGCGAGCCAACAGAGCCAAGCCTGCACCAAGCATAGACCAGCACGCCAACAGACATATAGAGAATTGAAGGGAGTTGAGAGTTTAGAACACGCCGACTGTTACATGAGGATCATTGAGGATTGCTATGCCAGGCCATGCTCGTTTTAAATAGAAATAGTTGCAGAAGACCATGCAATACCACTGGTCTTGCTTGTCCCATCCCGGAGATGTCAACTGGGGGTGTCATCTGCGGCACTCTGCTTTGAGGAGTGCCCAGCCAACAGCACCAGCCTGCACTTGTTGTGCGGCTTGCTCACAACCACCTGGTCCAGACACTTTGCATTTGCCATCATGAAAGCAGCGCGTGCAACTGTGAAACATGCACAGCGGGAGGATTGCTAAGACAATTATAACTGCTGCCACCACTGCTATCATCCCTGCACGCACCTGCACAGGACAGCAGCACACTCTCCATGCTCGATGGTAAGCGCTTATATGTCAACTTGGGAAACCATACCGCTGGAAATTGTTCCGATTGACGGCATGGACGTGGACTCCAAGCATGCTGCATGCAGCTGGCGTGGAAAAGCTTGAGCCGCGAGTCCGGGAGCCTCGCAGTCTTTAGTCATGTGCGCGAAGCTGTGGGAAATTGGGCTGTTTGGGGTTTAGATTGGCAGAGCTTGAGACAAAGAGCATCACAGGAAGCATCAACTTGGATACTCATTCTGCGCAAACCCAAATAAGCCATCTATTCTAAGTGGAAGGAATTCTGCCATCTTGGCCAGGAATAAGAAACCATGATCTCGAAAATCATACCTTGTAATTCAAATTAAGTACACGAAGAAGCCTCGGGAGGTCTCCCAGAGTTCTGAAATTTCAAACTCGTTCTTTATGGCACAAGCTATAATATAAACATATCTATATATATATATATACATATACATATATATATATATATACGAAACTCTCGGAGGCCTCCTGGACGTTTAGTTCTCCATTCCTGTGGCTCGACGCCCTACCAGACATCAGCAGATTCCAACATGCCCAGTTCAGGATCCCCAGTTCAGGATCCCTAGACATGAAATGATCCATAGAAGAGAGCGTTCCTCTTTTTCTGCTACGCAATCAGGTTTCACTGTGCATCCTTGGCATCTTGGGTTCTGGAAAGCTACTTCTCGCCGTGAGATCTGAGCGTGATTCTTGGTTTTGGCAAGTGATGATCCGGACTTCCTTGCAGAAGATGGTAGACGGCGTAGACGGCTAGGTGCATCTTGGGCATGCATGTCGATGCAGCTCAGCGTCTTACTCAAGTCCCAAGCATGGCTCTGTGGAATGTCACCATGCGAGGCGCCTGACAGACGAAGTTGGAGTGATGAGGCATAAACGAGGGCGACACGGGTGTCCCGAGCGGTATCCCTCTGAAATGTACGAGCCGAGTCACCTCCTGAGCGGTTCTTGCATGGTTTTAGCTGGCAGCTGAAATCGACACGGACTGCTTC